GAAAATAATTCTTACACCTCAATTACCAAATTCAAACAGAAAGAAAAATGCACTTAAAATAGCAATCTCTTCCTTCCTTAATAAATTACTTTAGCAACGAGGACCTACTACATCCTTACCTACCCAGCTGACTGGCACTTTCATTTTTGTAGGTCGCGCCGGTGATGTGCGAGGGTATTTTCAGAGTCCTGTCCGCTATTCTGTGGCTGGGAAATTTAAGCTTCGAAGACGTGGACGGTGAACGTTGCGAGTTAACTAGCGAGGACTTTGACATCGTTGCTACGGTGGCTCCTTTACTCGGACTGCAGGTCGAAGATCTGACCAAGGTGGTGCTTATACGACAGATAAACGTGCGTGGAAACATCACTGAGATACCGTTGAAGGTACAGGAAGCCCGTGAAAACAGGCACGCGATGGCAAAGGCATTATACTCTAGAACGTTTGCCTGGTTGATCAATCACATAAACAACTGCACGAATCCCGGCCAGGACAGCTCGAGATTCCTTGGCGTCTTGGATATATTCGGCTTCGAGAACTTCGCTGTGAACAGTTTCGAGCAACTGTGTATCAATTACACGAACGAGAAGTTGCACAAGTTTTTCAATCACTACGTGTTCGCATTGGAACAGGAACTCGTAAGTGTCGCTCCTAGGCGTTCTCTCGATTTCCTATATAACCACTAGGCTATGTGATGCGCTTAACACTCTTGATCATGCTAGGGTGAAATAATGGGCTTGTTACGTAACCGGTAGGGTGGAATCGAATTGACCTAGATAGAGGAGATAGTAGGGGTAATCGAATTGAATGTTTCTGTACTTTTCCACATTTTTCGCACGATGTTTAACAATACTCGATTTTACCCGAGAGTTGATTTTGTAGTTGACCACCGTGTTGAGTTCACCTTACCATAGTCTCGAGGGTTAATAATAAAAATAAACTGGTTCCATAGTTGATTAAGTGACACCTGTCCTTCTGTGTCGGCTATCGTTAACGCGTGGAACGTTTTGAATTTCAGTACCGACAGGAAGAGATCCAATACTCCCATATCACCTTCACGGACAACACCATGTGCCTGGAATTAATCGAGAAACCTCCACGATGTGTTCTTAAGTTACTGACCGAACAGTGCCATATGCCGAAAGGCTCGGACCTAGCTTACCTGACCAATTTGCACGCCGAATTCGAGAACCATCCGTGCTACGTGAAAGGCGACGATCGTCGAAAATGGGAGAAAGAATTTGGTGTAAAACATTACGCTGGTTGTGTCACCTATACGGTAGAGGGATTCGTGGATAAAAATCGGGACGTTCAGCAAGATGTGTTCTTCGACTTCATGTCCAGAAGCACAAACGAGTTTGTGAAAGATATCACGGCTTATCAAGATCTTCTTGGATGTACGGTGGCACGTGCAAGTGGAAATGCAACTACTATGTCTCGCGGCACTTCGAAAAGCAAACCAACGCTTTGCGATTCCTTCAGACACCAGTTACAAGCTCTCGTTGATGTTCTCCAAGCCACCACTCCTTGGTATGCCAGATGTATCAAGCCTAATATGCAGAAAGTGGCGAATCACTATGACGAGAAGCTGGTTCTTGATCAGCTGAAGTATCTGGGCATGTTAGACATCATTAGAATTAGGAAAGAAGGCTTTCCTATACACATGCCCTTCCATGATTTTATAGCGAGATATCGTTGCCTAGACAGGGCACGTTTGTCGCGTTCTTATAATGAGAACGATGCAGTTAGATGCTTGATCAGTAATCAAGGTATACCGGAAACTGAGTGGCAGATAGGAAAGACTAAAGTATTCTTGAGAAGTTACGTACACGAGCCACTGGAAGACTGCAGAAATCAGATGGTTACCAGTAATGCTATAATGATACAGAAAATATGGAGGGGTTACGTCGTTCGACGAGGTAAATTATTATTTTATATATATTGTAATAATATATTTCTACTTTATTCCTGAACGGAAAATTTTTGCAGAATATAAACGCGTACGAGACGCTGCATTAAAGGTGCAACACGCGTATCGAGGCTGGAAACTAAGAATAATGTTCATTAGAAAACGAAGAGCGGCTATTGTAATCCAGAGTCATCTGCGTGGCGTATTTGCAAGAGAGGTTGCAACAGCACTAAGAGAAATGAGACGAGTAGACGAGGAAATGAGGAAGAGGGAGAGGTTGGAGGAGGAGAGAAGACTGATGGAGGACAAGAAGGCTCTAGAAGAAAGCCAAAGGTATAACGAAATAATTATTCCGAGATTGTTTGATACGACACGTCTATTTCAGTATACAAACTACCGTGACAATCGCATAGGACAGTCTTTCGTTCGTGCGTTAATAGTATTTCCATTTGTGTCTCTTGTAGCGCACAGTACAATGGTATTGTCGGAATGGAACCCGGGTAAGTTCGTCAGTAGTTCGAATGACGAGTTAAAAACCCCTGCAGCATGATGAAATTTACAACAGAATAATTGCTTTTAACATAGATGCAGCGTTTAGTATCACCACATGCACACACACACCAGCACCTGATTAATCTGTGCGCTTAAGAACTAAAATATTTCCGTTAAGTAAAACTCTATTCCAATATTCTCATAAATACTATTCCAATTTTACAGAAAAGCTCAAGAAGAAATCGCAGCGTTGTCACAAATGGCAGAGCAAATGAATTCGAAGATGGCCGCTTCAGACTTACAGTCTGTGGATTTGGACAATCTATTTTCGTTCCTATCTGACGTTCAATCGACAAAAGGTAATCAGATCATCGAAGAAATTGGAGAACAAATGGATGAACTAGTTGAAGATCTCGACGTGGAATTGGAAACTGTGATCCAACAAGAATTGGAGATGAACTCCAAGTTAGAATCCAAAGCGAACACTCCAAACGGACAGGAAACTCCTTCACCTCCGCAGCAAGCACCACAGCAACAGCAACAGCAGCAAAGGATACCGTGTCCAAATACTGGCAAGCTTGGTCAGCCAAGTCTTCCAGAACCCACTGAACCTCCTCCACCTCCACCACCTCCTGCTCTATCCTTGACAATGAATGGTGATTCCTCCACTGATAATGGTGAACCAATCTATGAATCTGTTTTACCACGAGAGGAGAACAGTCCAAGTAGCCCAGTTGTGGTCAATGGAAACTCTGGATCACTGGTTAATGGTGAATCCTGTGGCTCACCTCCACCGGTACCAAATAATAAAGTTATCAAGGAACCAGTTGTTGGTAGCCCTCCTTCTAGGCCAGAGTCCAGAAACTCGAATAGTCACCATTTGCATCATAATCACCATCAACCTGTGCCTCAACAGCAACAGAATGGCCATGATCAACAGCAGCAACAATCACAGCAAGTTCAACAACCACCTGTCGAGCGAGAACAAAGACGCAAATGCAGAGTGGAACGCAAACTTCAAGAACTGGAGGACAAGAAAGAACCTGACAACGAAATTACCTATCACGATATAGTAGAATTTGCACAAAATTACTTCAATAGTCACGAGAGATCTCCAGAAGGCACGATAATGGCCACGCTTACTAGAAAATCGCGTGGCAAGAGCGTGGAGTTTATACCCAAGTATGAGATGGTCACTTATTACAAAGGTTCCACTATACCGAATTCCCACATTCATATGTATGATCCTGATAACGTCAATGTGGCTTGTTCAGTCTTTAGAGTAAGCAATTAGTACTACACAGAATGTTATGTTTTCTAATTACGACAGATATTAATTTTTTTTCCTAACCTTCAGGATCTCTGTAAGTACATAAGAGGAGAAATGAAACTGGACCAGGAAATTGCGACTATTCAAAGCATAATAGGTTATGGTATCGAGCGTGAAGAATTGAGAGATGAAATCTTCGTTCAATGTATGAGACAGGCGACCAACAATCCTAATCCTGAATGGGCGGAACGTGTGTGGTTGCTGCTCTGTTTGGCAATTGTAGCTTTCCAACCTAGTAAACTACTGTACAAGTACTTCGTGTCTTTCCTGAGGAAGAACTTAGCCCTAGAGGGGAGACTCCGACAGTATGTTCAATGGTGCGTGGACAACTGTAAAAACATGAAAGTCTCCTGCAGACAACATCCGCCATCAACGGTAGAAATCGCCGCGATGAGGCGATTAGGTACCATAGTCTGTCGATTCTTCTTTCTGGACGGAAGAACAAAAGCAATCGACGTGCATCCAACTGATACTGCCGCCGATGCGGTTGCTAAATTAGGCGAAAAATTAGGTCTTCGTTCCTTGGAAGGTTGGGCGATTTACCAAAGCAGGCCGGATGGCGAGGAACACGTACGAGCACATGATTATTTGTACGACGTTATAGCTGCTTGGGAAATGTAAGTCATCGAACCAAAAAAATTTTTACGTTACATTTTCACGTTACTTTTACACAATTTATTATACTTCATTACTTCAGGAAACAATGCAAATTGAACACAGCACAATCAACGTTCTCCACGTTACGGCGTGGAAACAATGCTACCCTGGGAAGTGGTGATAATCGATTCGTCTTCAAACGAAGACTCTTCAGAAACACTCGAGAAATATCCCAAGATCCCGTTGAAGTTAACATGTTGTACGCTCAAGCTGTGTACAACGTCGTGAAGGTAAACGAGTAAAAAAATGATTCAGTCATTTCATTTGACCCAGTATCGTGAAACTCATTTCTTTGTTTTTTTTTCGTTTTTCAGTGTGACGACTTTCCAGTATCGGAAAAGGTCGCGCTCCAATTGGCAGGCTTACAAGCGCAAGTCGCCTTGGGCGACCCGAAAGATAACGATCGGTTGGATTACTACAGCGAGGTGGACAGTTTTTTGCCTTATCGGATCAGCCGTGCTCGTGGCGACGACGTATGGGTGCCAATAATAGCACAAGCGCACAGACAGTATGGCGCCGGCCGCAAAGAGCTGGCGGCCAAGGTATTGTATTTATCTTGCGTAATGCAATACCCGCTTTACGGCACGACTATGTTCAATGTCACTTATCGCGGTTATTGGTCTTATGGCAATCAACTGATATTGGGTATCAACTGTGACGGGTTGATGCTGATTAAGCCAGACGACAAGTTCGTCTTATCAGAGTATCGTTATCAGGATGTAGAGAGCATCATGCTAGACCCAAGCGACTCTTTTATCACGTTGTCACTTCTTCGGCATAACCCTGACAGCTCGCACAAGTGTTTCGTGTTTGAAACAGCGCAGAAAAATGAAATTGGTAGCTTGATCGTTAGCTACTGTCCAGCGTTAGCTGGTTGGATCACGGAGAACGAGATTCCTACTAAGAAGCTTAAGTGTATCACTAACGAAGATCGTATTAGACTCTACCATAACTTAGTGAATTGCCGGAGGACACTCGTGGATGCAGAGATACTGAGGAAACCGCAAGACTCTGGAGGCGGTTTCCTCAGGAACACTCTCAGAAGGCTGTCTAAGCACAGAATAGAGAAACTGAGGCAGGAACACGGTAGTGCAACCGATCATGGTGAAACTTACAAAGGATTCCCGTATGCCTACTGGGCATTCAGCAGACAAGCTATACCTCAGAGTCTTTCTAAACTACCTGATCCTGACGAACAGCATTCCCTTGCAGTGTTCCAATTAATATTGACCTACGCTGGTCTAGGACAAAATGGAGATACTGTTCGTAGGGTGGAAGATGAACACGTTAACCTGATACAAACCGTGATGGAACGTTGCATAAGGAAGGAGAATCTGTTAGGCGAATTGTATCTTCAATTGATCAAGCAAACCACAGATCATCCTGACCCTAACAGTCGAGTGAATCTCAGGCATTGGGCGTTGCTTTCTTTGGCCTGTTCGGTTATCTTACCGCCGCAGAAAGTGATTCGAAAGTATCTGATCGCGCATCTGAAACGGTGTTCCAGCGATTATGTCACGGAAGAAGGGAAGTATGCCCGATTCGCTGAAAAGTGCCTTTACAAGACGCAGGGCACGAGAAGAAGGCAATGGCCCCCGAGCAGGGAAGAGATAATGTGCACAATTAATCGGAGACCTATTTACGCAAGATTTCACTTTATGGATGGGCAATATCATGCTGTCGAGTTCCATCCTTCAGCTACAGCTAAGGATGTTATGGAGATTATTAAGACTAAAATTGGTCTGGAAGAAACTGCTATGGGTAATTGAAGATAAATTAATTCTACGTGTCATGATTATTTTCAGTGGCCCGTAAATGTTTATAATTAAATATTCATGGATTTATAGGTTATGCCATCTACGAGATCTTAGGGCCGACAGAACGTGCACTGATACCGGAGGAAAAGATCGCTGACGTGATGTCGAAATGGGAGCGTTACAGAACGGCGAATGCACAACAAAACCAATCACAGAGAAAGCACGCACATCACTTCTTCCTATTTAAGAAACATTTGTTCCTTGATCAGTACATGAATCTCGATGATCCAGTGGAGAAAGAGTTACTTTATCATCAAGTGCTGCACGATTTACGTGCTGATCGATTCCCCATCACCGAGAAGGAAGCTGTAAATAATACTTCCTTTTATAAAATCTGTTAATACTGAAAATGTTATAGTATAAGATTATTAAATATGTAATTTATTTATAGATGATGTTATCAGCGTTACAAGCTCAACTAGAACTCGGTGATTGTGAAGACGCTGTGTCAGATCACGATTATCGTACTATATCAAGTCACTGCCTACCCACAAGACTGGTTCCAGCTTTATGTATAGACGGTGTGCTTCAACACCATCAATCTTTACGGGGAATGACACCACCAGAGGCAAAGAAGGCTTTCCTAAATTTAATTCAGTCGTGGCCGTTACATAGAGCCACGATATTCGATGTAATGCAATCGTTCACTTCAAACTGGCCACGCGTTTTATGGTTGGCCGTTGATCAACAAGGTCTTCATCTTCTGGAGCATCGTTCCAGAAACACTCTTTGTACCTATGAATATAGCAGTATTCTCAATTATAGCCCAGCTGTTAGTTGTTTGATGATTATTACTGGTACTGACAAGAAACAGAGCAAAGTCATCCTTACGACGTCTCAGGTAATTGCTTTATATTTTATTAAATTTATTAGGATGATATTACGATCGTTTAATTGTAGGCACATCAAATAGCGAATTTGATTCGCGAGTACATGGATGTTCTTCAGTCACCGCCGGAAATACCGAAGAGAGAATCGGCGATAGCTCAGCAGATAGCGCAGCAGCCGATGCAACAACCACAAACGAGTATTCCGGCTGCTGCTGGTGGTCGTAAATCCCGACCTGCTTCGGTATTACACAGAGGTGCTCCAGTGATACAATCGCAAGCTAGTTAAAAGGTTAGGTAACTTATTAGGTGCGATACTTCCCTTCAATCTGATACACAAATCGTTACCTCATGTACGTAAAACTTTCCTCTTTTGTATATTCATCTCATATAAATTTAATTTAACATCAGTCATATTTCTAATTCACTTTAATTTTTATAATTTCATACTACTTATTCATTACTGATTTATATATTGCTCTTAATATTTTTATGTATTTCAGAATGAATTTTCTTAACTGTGTAGTTAGTGTGTCATAGAGTTAATTTCAGTATCAGGTTGCAGCGAGAAAGTATCTCTATATAGTTATTAATGCTTTATCGGCAAGGCCTATCAGCCGACGAATAAACTATCGTCGCAGTGAGACGGCACTAGCCTAGAAATATTTCTTTCTTCCAGTATTTATTCGATTAGCTTAGAGCTCGAGAGACGTCGAAAGAAAAATAGCTGCTGCCGCGGGGTGAACGTAATTTAGCAAATGGACCGACAAATACTGCCATTTTACAATTTTAAACAAAGCTGGAAAGCTATCAAAGACTTCTATTTCCATTTTGTCTGTCACTGTTGTTCCCTTTTTTACGAGCGATTTGCAATGTTTTTTATACGATCTTTTGCAGAATGTACGACAACCAATAATCATTGTATGAATCGGTAAATATTGATCCGAGACTATGGTATCACACTTTTGGCATATCATTTTTTGTATCGTTTGACGAAGAGTGATTATCAACTTTTCACGTGATTTTCATTTGAACGATATTAAAAACGACCAATTTATATTGATTTTATATCCTCGATTTTATCTCCTTCGTTAATCACTCTGTTTAACGATACAATAATAATACGATATAAAGAATCTAAGATTTTTGCCATATTGCAATCAATATTAGCGTCTCAAGTGTTAATCTTACGCAAATTTGAAATGCGATTATATACGTATTATATTTAGACGCAATATTCCCCGTAAAATTTTACTCGACGTATAGTAAATGATAATGTAAAGATATACAGATGACACTTTGAAGAAGATAAATTTTTTTTACTCGTATTTCGAGAAAATTCTTCAAACGCGTTCTAAAATGAAAGTCGAATGATAATCTAACCTTCATTTTTATAGACAATCTTTCCGTGCTATCGTCCCTTTTCTCGTAAAAATTATAAAGCTGGAAACAAGTGTAATGGAAGAAATTATCGTTTACACGGAAATTCAATGAACATCCGTAATTCCGACGCGATCGCATCGATCGAAAATTGCCACGTAATTGCGTCCAAAGAAATTTTTTTTTACCCGAATCGCTCGATATCATGGTGTGTAAATATTGAAAAGGAAGAAAAAAAAATGTTTAAACTTAAAACGATATAACAATAGGTTCCAAGCAGAATTCTCCAGTGTTCAGTGATTGCATTTCCACGTAAAATTAGACACACAGTTCACTTATATACAGAAACGATATTATCTAATTGTAATTTAACCCTTTCAAATACAATCTTTCATAATGTAGTAGAAGACTAGTATAAAGAATCGAAGCTCTTTCAAATCTACACTGTTTACAGTTCATAATGTAGAGATATCATTAGTTTTTTGCTAATATTACTCTTTTTGATAATGAACAATAGCACGATTGTTCAACGATGTAATAATTACTAATTCCAATACCACTGAAACAACAATATTTAAAGAAAAAAGCACTTTGTACGGGACACAGTCAAGAAAGGGTTAATGTAAGGTTAAACAAGAGATCTTCTCCAAGGATCTTCTGTCGAACACTGGAGCTGGCAAAAAGTATCCTGAGTTTATTCGGACCAAGATTTCGTCCCGAAGACTCGATTAGACCAATATTAGATCCTTACTTACGCGTTGATATTAAAAAAGAAAGATAAAATTCATATGGCTGTAGACAGAAAAAAAAAGACGAAACACTTATTCTTTAATAAGTGCACCATCTAACGATTGGCGGCAAGAAACAATTACATTACAATCCGCCCGAAACATATGGTTTGACGACATTACCATTGTAAAAACATTGTGGCACGCGTACTTAAGGATCAGTCACATCGATCACCATGAACTATAAAGGATCGAGAATTCGTCGTGACGAAACGGAGAGAAGTTAGTGTACCCTCTATAATCTATATTTATTCCAATTTCCTTTCTGGGAGTTTGGCTAAGATTCGACGAGTGCAGAGACAGACTGTGATCCGCTTTGGGTGTCCTTAGTCTTCGAGAGCTGTTTAACGAGTGAGACTTCGTGTTAACTAATTAAAAGAAGAAAAATGAGAAAGAAAAGAAAAAAAAGGGATAAAGAGGAAGCTGAGCACGTGTGCGTGTTTGCGTGTGTGAGAGGAAGAGAACAAAAGGATCGCGTGAACGTGTAAGGAAAACCTTACGAAACGAGGATGTGATTTTGCGACGCATGCATGTATACTTAAAAGGAAGAAAAAAAATGAAAAAGGGGGGGAAAGGTATGTGAATCCCCTGTATGTGTAGCTTAAGCGAAATAAATTATTGGTTGATGATGTTATATTGAAATATTTAAGGAGGAACGACACTGTATATACGTATATATAAATAGACACGCATAGACGATACGCACACCGCGAATTACACTCAATTACACACGGGACATACGACAGACTGTTGTAAACTCGGAAATAGTATACACGTACAAAGGAGAAACACGGGGGAGAATTACACGCCTACATGCGACGAGAATATACATACTATTTTTTATTAATAGTTGTTCAACGAATGATTACCATAGTGATTGAAAGTTAGGTGGTTTTAATGAACTTTGAAAATATAATCGTATAATATTAACACGAACAGGATTTCCATTGTATGGCAGGGTATGATTTTTAATGAAAAATACCGTTTTCGTGTATATATACATTTTTTTATTTATTATTTTGTACACAATAATCAGACAAGTAACAGTACTTGCTTCGGTTCACGATTGACCCGTGTATTTGCAATTAATAAACCTCTCATTAATATTTTAACTTGAAGACAAGGCAAATATCAACAAATACAGAGGCAATCGTGCGTAAACAAATGGTTTTTTTTTCACATATGACAAAATAAATAGCTTTAAGAAATAAATGAGTAAAAATTAGAGCAAATGGAAGGAGAAAGTGGCCTAAAGTAAATTGTCGCATTTAATACCGTTCTCATGTGTTTGCACGCACCATTTTCGGTCGTTAAGTTTTGTATCCGTTAAAAATGCGTTTTTCTTTCGGTAGAATTTTCAAGCCCCCTTCTCACGTTTCTAAATGCATGAAATACGACGCGACACCGACGGAAGTACGTTAATTCTTTTCAGACTGAAACTCTAAAAAACGTACACATTCATGAATTCAACAAAGTATGGCAGATGGAGCTGTTAAGAAATACGTCTTCCGAGGACGCGCGATCTATTGACGCACGTGCGAAAGAGGCTTTAAAGATCCATTAGAACTTTCTCGCTCACGTCATCTTCATCTTCGCCATAATGGATCGAAACCGAAGTATCGACGATTTATATAATGCATATGAAAAATCTGTGCGTAATTGTTGTTCTAAAATTTCGTATAACAAATACCGTAGAAATGGTTGCAATTTTATAAAAAACACGTGCGGTCAATGAAGAATGGACATCAAATCATCGTTAAAGTTACTTCGTTATGTACAAAAATACAATATCAAAAATTGATCCATTTTGACTAAGACGAAGGCAATGTTACAGCATAAAAAATTATATTGCTTATTTCTTTCGTGTTTTTTTTTTTTCTATTATTTGTACGGTTCTATTTTTTTGGCACCTGTAAAGAAACCAAGAAATGCTGCACAGATATGTGAGTGAGAGTACGCGTTATTTAAACGTAAACTTTACTATAAACAAAATGCAAATTTCGCGTTCGTACAAACTAATTTAATGACAAAAATGAAATATTCGTTTTCGATCTTGTGTAATAGAACGAAATTTTTGCCAATCAATTTTTATTTCGTAATTTTAATCCACTTTTGTCATTAAAATTATAGCACGAATCATCGATTCCATAGGAATATAGGCGTGTCTTGATGCTAACGTTAAAAAATACACAGATACGATGATCAACAAGACGTGCAATTCTTATTTTTTTTCCTTTTTTTCTCACCTTTGTCTCTTTTAAGTCGTTCATTCACTCTTTTAAAACTAATACTCAACACGTGCACGCAACAATGTTATGTATGCAATCTCCGATTCGCATCCATTTCCCTGGTTCGCCCAATTGTATCGTAAAAATACTTTCTTGGAGTTGAAACAAAAATTCTTACCGGCGTAGCTTATCAACGAATGCGAGATAAATACACTTCTACAAATAACTTGGACACGTTTCATAGTGTGCTCACATCAAACAGGTGTCGCAGTACTTTAATGTGAAAATATTTCACAACGAAAAAGAAAAATAGAGATACTTTTTTTTTTACATAGTTTTCAACCCTTCTCACTCGATCGTAAAAGAAGGAACTATTTTAAGAATATTGTTACGCAGCAAATTATCGATTTATTAATCGATCTCGAATGATATAGGTTAGGGTAGAATTAGAATCGAGTCAATTTCATATCCATTGCTAAATTAATCGTATTCGATATTTATTGCTGTCAAAAATTGAACTCACTTGAGATGAAACATTGAAAAAATATTTATGACGAAGTTATTCTGACGGTTCAGTGTCACAGTAGCGATGAAATCTTGAATCGGTATTTTTGGAAATATTTATTGGTCGTGGCCACGAAATATTTCCGGTCACTGTCAAGGATCGGGAGGCTGTACTTCGAGCGGTTGCGAGTTGGCAATAATCGATATTGTTGGGTGCGTAGCCGGTTGCCATCGACCTCGAGAATAATCGCACCGTTCGAGCATGTGTACCGTTAGAGTTTGAAGAACTCGTTCATCGCCACTTCAAGTTTTGTATCGGCGTAATGTATAAAGGAAGCATAAAAGTCAACGAAAAGGGTGATTAATGAAGAACAGATATACCGTGACCT